GACAAATAATAACAACAACATATCTAGTGAAATTCCACTAAGTGAAGTCCCGAGAAGGTAGAGTATATACAAACCTTATCATTACTTCATGGAAATAGAGAGACTATTTCTGAAAGGCCATAAGCTCAAGTGCATCAAACCTTAGTTAAACAATAAGAAAATAATGAAGAAATTAAGCATAACAATCAATAAGAAAAGATCGAAACGTGAAGTCTACAAGAAAGAAACGACAATTTAACAACAATAAAATGGTGTGATGTATAAGCGAAACACGATCAACAACATAAGACAAGAACTACAAACTAGTACTACAACAAAACACGAATTAACAAGCCTAAACCTTCACAACGAAAGATAAATACTTGATCCATACTACAAATAGTAACAAAAACAACAAATAGTAGTAGAACAGCATTACAACAAAACAATATTATAATCGAACACTACATTAAACAAAACAAAAAAAAAAAAAACTTTTTTCGATCAAAAAATAATTAAATTTTTATAAAAGTTCCGTTACCGGGAATCGAACCCGGGTCTCCTGGGTGAAAGCCAGATATCCTAACCGCTGGACGATAACGGATTGATGCATAATTATTGATACAACCTATATTTATATTCTAAATCCTATAGTATTGAGAGTTGTTTGGAGAAAAAATAAAATTGGTGGTCCAACTAATAATACTTAGGTAAAAAGAATTATAGTAATTCTATTCATATTAGTATAATCTTATTCTATATTTAGAAGTTGGAGATCAAAATTCTATTTTTGTCTATTAATATTAGTATATTCATATAAGAAGTAGGAAAACAATATTGTGTTTTATGTCAAAATAGGATTTGTATAGTGAAAACAATATAAGTTTATAAATAGACTTGCTAACGCTAATTTAAACACAATGCATGTCGATGGATTCAATATTAGTATCAAACCCTAGAAACTATAATAATTCCACCCAAAATATTCCCAATGATATCATAATTGATATACTCACAAAACTTCCTGTGAAATCACTTTTAAGGTTGAAAGGCGTTTGCAGATCATGGTATTCGTTAATTAAAGATGAAAAATTCGTCAAGCAACACCATGATACTCATAAAAATCGTCAAAAGTAGTTTATAATTTCGAGGGGACGCGAGATTTTCCACCACTACACTATGGACGTCCCTCAAGTTGTTGATTCTACTAGAATAGTCTCTCTTATCGAGCCTCCGATTCGAATCGATCAATCGCTAAAGGTATACCCTAACATTCAATATTTCTCATCTAATGGAATACTTTTTATAACATATTCTCATGACATAATTGTTATGTGGAATCCTTCCACTAGAGAATCAAGAAGAATCCCTAGTCCAATTTACAATAATCGTGGTAGTATGTATAGTTTTTGCTACTTTCATTATATTGATGATTATAAAATATTTAGACTAAGATGTGGTGACAACAAGGAGATTGATATATTTTCAACGAAAAGTAACATGTGGAAATCGATTGGGATGTTTCCTTCAAATTATTATTTTTTAGGTTTTAATGTTGTGATGGTAGATGGGATTGTTTATATGATGGCAAGGAATAAAGAAAATTTACCTAGTGTTACTATATTACGTTTTTGTTTGGAGAAGGAAAAATTTGAAGATGAATTATTGTTTCCATATGTGGTGCCATGGACAAGACATGTTTTGCATTCTTTAGGAGAAAAACTTTGTTTACTTAGAATATTGGATGATAATCGTGAGTTTTGGTTGTATACGATGGAAAAAAATTCATGGAATAAGATATTGACGATTCCATTAGCTCTGAAAAATGGTTTGAAACCTGTTAGTTTTACAAAAGATGGAAGCATGATGTTTCAATCGTTCGATAGACGTGGATTTGTGGCTTACAATTCAACATTACATAAATTCGAACAAGTTAATGTAGGTGGAATTAAAGGACTTTACTTCAATAAGGTTGTAACCTATGAAGAAACTTTATCCTCTCTTAATCCGTGACAAGGTTGGAAGACATGACATATTTACGGACATTTATGTGAGAAAAGGTTGAAAGATATGACATATTTGTGAAGGTTGGAAGTAATACATATTTGCGGAGTTTTACGTGAGAAAAGGTTGAATGACATGACATATTTGCGAAGGCCAGAAGACATGACATATTTGCAGACATTTATGTGACATGATATATTTGCTCAGTGGCGAAGCCAGAAATTTCTTAAAGATAGTCCAGAAATAGCAAATTGTTATGTTAAGGATGTCCAAAATAATTATCATCTCGTATATCATTTTACTTGTATATATGCTAATTTTTTTCCGATCAAGTAGTATGTGGCTACGCCACTGTATTTGCGGATATTTATCTGAAAAAGAAAAGATATATCCCTTGTTTCAAATCCATTATTATTATTATTATTTTCATCATGCTTTTTATTAAATTTCTTTTATTCATTTATCTCTTGTTCTAACTTATGTGTAGATATTTCGTAAAGAACTTCTCAAGTTTTCACTATAGAGATGATAAAACCATTCATGAGATCGTATATATTAACTTTGATCAATTTGAATAAGTTTTTGATTTTCATCGAATCATAATTTTTTTTGAAAAAAAGTCAATAAAAAGTAAAAATATGGACTTTTTTTTTTTTTAAAAAAAAATATATTTGTTTTACTTGTTTAAAAAGATAGCTGATATTATATTCTGAAGGTCTGAATGTGATGTCCACATAAGCAAAACAAGTCTTTGTTGATATGATAAACGTGGCATGATAAGTTTTTCATATATTTTGGGATATTGGGGTTGAATAATTACAAAAGTTTTTTTTAAAGAAAATTCATCACTATACAGTGTCTAGCGGTCTTTTATTAAACATAAAAAATATTAATACGGACAAGTATAAGTAAGGGGAGTTAGGGCTTATTTTACTAATCCTAATGAAATACCTACCTTCTGCTCCGTATTATTTGATCATCACAGAGTTAATTGTAATAAACTCCATGGTGATATACGAATGAAGATGCATGCTTAAATAATGTAAAAATATGTCAATCAAGAAGAAAGTTGAGTTACTAGCCTCAAAATTTCTATTGCTAAAGCATGAATTAGAAAAGATTGATTGCCCATCAATAATAACTTGAAGTATTTTTATCTTGTCTTCTTCTTTAAACCTATCGTCCAACAACACTAGATGATTCATACCTTCTTTATTGATTTATTGGACCTAGTTGAACCTATTGATACTGTCAAATGGTTTTGCTTTGCCTATCGCATCGATAGGTGCCTTGTAACAAAACTCCTCAGTCATTTTTCCGTCCCAACTATGTTGCCTTCTATATGTCTTCTTTTTTGCTTTTGTTACTTCCACTTCTTTGTTGCCTAGGTGATATATCCCCTTCCCTAGCCACTCTATCAAAGCAAATGTCCAGCATATTGTCTTCCTCATCATCATCAAAAGACTCCTCACCAAAATCCACTCCATCTTCATCAAGAGAATTCTCACCCAAAATCAATTGTATTTGACACGAGAATAATCACAAAAGATTCATATAGCCGTTCTCAACTTTATTCAGGATGCATAGTTGAATGATCGAGAATAAGTAAAAGGTTGTGTTTCATATCTAATATTTAGTAGTATTCTAAGAGTGATATAGTAAAAGTACCGTTTAAAAACTTGCTTGAGCACTTTGATATTTTCCTAAAAGTTTATTTCATAAAGTATATTTGGAACTATTCAGAAAGAAAAAAAAAGTAGTAAAATTGATCCTATTCCTATTCATAACTGAAAAAGAAAAAAAAATCAGTAAATTTGTATTCTATTTTTGGTGCATTATTTAATATATTTATATAAGAAGTAGGAAACCAAAATTGTATTCATGTCTAAATAGGATTTGTATGGACTTTATTATAAGTTTATAAATAGACTTTATTATAACGCTAATTTGGACAAATTAAATTAAAATACTTCCATGGATTCAATGATTGTATCAAAACCCAAGCATCGTAGAAACAATTATAATTCAAATTCTTCCCAATGATATCATACTTGATATATTCGCAAAACTTCCTGTGAAATCACTTGTCAGATTCAAAAGCGTTTGCAGATCATGGTATTCATTAAGTAAAGATGAAAATTTTGTGCAGAAACATTATGAAACTCACAAAAATAGTCAAAAGTACTTTATGATTTCGAAGGGACCCACGATTTTCCATCACTACACTATGGATGTCCCTCAACTTGATTCGAGTAGTATAATCTCTCTCGTGGAGTCTCCAGTTCCGATCGATAAGTCACGAAAGGTATTCCCTAGCACACAATGTTTTTCATCTAATGGGATAATTCTTATAACATATGGTGATAATAAAATCATGTTGTGGAATCCAGCCACAAGAGAATCAAGAACAATACCTAGTCCAATTTGGAGTAAGACATGTGGTATTTATAATTTTTGCTACTTTCCACGTATTCAAGTCTACAAAATATTTAGACTAGGACTCGGAATCAATACCGATGACATGAATATTGAGATATTTTCAACGAAAAGTAACATATGGAAATCGATTGGGATTTTTCCACGAAATTATAATTTCTTAGGTGGTAACGTTGTTATGGTCGATGGGATTGTTTATATGATGGCAAAGAGGAAGGATAATTTATCTAATCATACTATATTACGTTTTTGTTTGGAAAAGGAAAAATTTCAAGATGAATTAATGTTTCAATACACGATACTAAGGAGTACACATTTTTTGTATTCTTTAGGAGAAAAACTTTGTTTGATTAGATTATTGGATGGTAATCGTGAGTTTTGGTTGTACATGAATGAAAGAAATTCATGGAATAAGATTCTGACGATTCCATTAACTCCGAGTAATTGTTTGAGACCTTTGAGTTTTATGAAGGATGGAGGGATGATGTTTATGAAGGATGGAGGCATGATGTTTAAGAAGAAGGATAGCTTTGAGTTTGTGGCTTACAATTCAACAACACATAAATTGGAACAAGTTAATGTAGATGGAATCAAAGGACTTCACTTCAATAAGGTTATAACCTACACGGAAACTTTATCATCTCTTTATTTGTAAAAAAGTTGGATGGCTTTGAGTTAGGTAATTAAATAAGACATGACATTCACCAATGACAGAGGCAAGAGGAAGTTCTTTGAAACATTCTAAACACTTCTGGTAGACGTGTCTTCCATTATCTGCATATTTGATTAAGACTTCCTCTTCAAATCCATAAACAGAAGTGCAGTATTCAGATTCGTGATTTCCACGAAGAAGAATCACCCTATTAGGCATTAGAATCTGAAAGAATGTGTAGATCCATTAAATATCCACAATTACAATAGAACAAGACTAACCATAACAATTTAACCAATTGCATCAAGACAGCACTAACATGGCTATCAAAACTAAAAAATAATTGCGCTAAAACTAGAGCACTAAAAGTTATACCATGACTATTTTCTTATTTCCATCACACCAAATGATTCCTTATATAGTATGATCAATTGACTAAGCTAATTAAAAGTAACTAGTAAACTTTCTTACCTTCCAAGCGAGTAAGAGAAGGAAGGTCTCAAGACCCCAAGCACCTCTATCAACATAATCTCCGTTGAACACAAAGAAACGATTTTCAGAGGGAAAACCAGCATCCTTCAACAAGAACAAGACAACATGTAGTTGTCCATGCACATCTCCAACCACAACAACCGTCGAATTTGGATCTAAACCTGACCTACTATCGATCTGCAAGCAATTGGGTTCCTTATGCATGATCCCCGACGCCATCTCTGCAAGACGATCAAAAACTTCTATTGGTAGCACTGTCAAGAGATCTGATGGAGGAAGATTCCTAGACGCCCAATCAAATGCTAACATTAAGTTTCTAACCCAAGTTAGGGTTAGTGTTCCGTCTTCAGGCCACGAAATTGGAATCTGTGGTGTTGAAGGAGTTGGGGACGAAGGCAATGAGATGGAAGATGTCGAACCTCGGAAAGAGGAAGCTTGTTCGTTGAGGTCATCGTTCATAGATTGAACATGATCAGGACGGGCAGGAGTGGCATACCCAACATCTTCATTAGCAAACTGACGCAATGGTTGGACATTGTGAATCATTGTGTGGCTGGATCTGCACTCTACATCTGGATTCGCATCATCCATTGGAGAACTTTCTGCATTGTAAATCACAATGTGATTGTCGGTATAGTGTGATCCAGAAACATCATCACATGGTGATGAGCCCATACCAAATTGTGCTTCATCATTCAAATTTTCACCCGTAAATCTGGTACTTGTACCACAATCGGGCTCCACATTTGGATTCGCATCCTCCATCGGAGAGACATCATCAGGATTCGCACCTCTTTGTTTTCTGCGTCTTCCTGCCCATCCACGTCTACGTCGATTCCTAGAATTATCAGGCTGCTTTGGAACGTAGGACGGTGAGACACCGAGCCTTTGAGCATCATTTGCTGCCATTAAACCATCAATGCACATCTCCATCACATTCCTTCCAGCGACCTCCGTAGTTGATTCTTGTCTTAGTTTAATCCCATACTGATACAACATATGGAGTTGACGCGCCTGCAAATCATATAAATAAGATCAGCACTTGATTAAAAATAAACATATGCAATTAAAGCATCTAAATTATTATAAAAACAGCGCAACAACTGAAAGAATAAAAAAACAATTCTCAAAAAGGGGGCAAACAGCCACAAAACTGGAAAAAACTATAGCCAAAAAACAGTAGCGAGTATTGGGCAAAGTAGCAACCAAAAAACAATAGCGACTTTGGGCCAAAGCAGCAACCAAGATAGCACAAAAAACCGAGCCAAAATGCATAAAATGGATCAAAATGAAGCACTAACAGGAACACAGTAGCTAAACATAGCAAAACAAGAAAAATTATTGGGCATAACCACAGCAAGAAAACTAAAAAATATGCATATTGATATAAAGTGCTAAAAAATATGCATATTGATATAAAGTGCGTACCATTATCTCAGATGTTGGTGCAAGTGATGCATACCCTGTTGGAATACGAATTTCAGGGTTTCCAATGATTTGTCGAGTGATCAAACGAAACCACTTAAGATAATCATCATGATATGGAAGGAAGCCTTCTGCTAATGGCGCCTCCCAAACACGGTTTGCACGATCATTCCACACAAGTATGTGACTTGCATGATGTGTACTCCAATCGGTGTTTTGTCTGCCACGACGGTCAGACTTTTCATGTTTCTTGCTAAAATTGCAGGCATCGGGAATGTTTTGACGCATTCCGAATTGTCTAAGAACCCTGTTGGGTTGATGCATCTCCACTACATCCCAACATAGTAGTGGCACCACAGCATGCCAAAAATATTCTCCTGAGCGACAATAATCGGGAAGATTCTCCATCACATAGGGCTGCCAAACAAACTATAAGACAGCAAATTGTTAGTAAAAAAAATAAATATTTGGCAATACTTGTTATACAACAATATATTGAGTTTGCAAGTCATACTTGTTCATCTACAAGATTATCCAATTGATCTCGAAACAACGACAACGCATATTGAGGTGAATGCTTCCAACTAAGTTGTACGCTCCATCTACTCGCATATGGGGGATTCGGGAGATCATCTGAGAAGATAATAGCACCATCTCTAGCCTGAAGTCGATCAGGATGAACAATCTTCAATCTTTCCCATGCCCATACCTAAGTAAACATACGAAAAAAAACAATGAAAACAATCAAAAAAATTAATACAATTATTATCATTCTGTATAAGTGGTGGTACTTTTGGACGACTAAGGTCGTTCATGTAATTTACCCTCTTAAAAATCCTTTTCATAACACATTGAGCCAACTAAAAACAGTACCACTGCAGATTGCCTGGTTAAATTTCATCAAAAAGGTTATACCCCTTAACTGGTGTCTTTTCAACTGATTTTTGGAGGCATTCAACTCTGCTAATTTGGTGCTTGTAGTTGAGTTCATGAAACTAATTTTAAAGTCAGGTTTTTTTTCTCACTGGTGATGGAAGGCATACTCATTAGTAAGTTAATTAAGAGCTATCTTCAGCTATGCACCAACAACTTTTTTCCTGAATAATTTTTCTTCAGAGAAGTTGTTTGTTTCGAGCTTTTTGCATTTTGCTACTACATAGTAATCTTGAGAATTCTTTTACCATTTGTTACTAATCATGATTGTTTGGAAATGTTGGTTTGTTATTACAAGTACAACAATCTCATATGATATTCCGTGTGCGAAGTGTTGTTGACATACTATTTGTTATTGTTGTTGACCATGTATCAAACAATTAAAATGGACAGTTTCCATTGGAAGTAATTTCAGTTATCCAAATACTTATTAGTATTAGTTACAAATGACTATTCCTTTCACTATAAACCCCCATTTCTTTGCTAACAATACATGGTCAACAAATTACTGGTATCCTATGCATCATCAACAAATTACTGGTATCTTATGCATATTGGGCCTGTGATCTAGTACATCTATAAAAATCAACGAATCCATGATAATATTGATATTACAAAATGCATACCTGTAGAAGTGGTAGAAAAGCACCTATTTCTTTCTTCTTAGAATTGGAAGCACGGCATAATGCCCGGTACAAGCATGCCAACACAGCACTGCCCCAACTATACCTGCCAATTTGGTCAATATTCTCGAGATGCACCAAATATATCAACTTAACTTTGTTTCCTGATGTGTCAGGAAACAGAATACCTCCAATCATCAACATCATGTAACACCTAGCGAGTTGATGAATGACTAACTCATCTGTATCATCATTGATCTCACCGAATGCCTCCAAGTGACTTTCTAGTGCACTGATATCAAGTCTACTTCCATTCAACTTGTCATCATGTGGTCTAAAACCAAGGAACTGCTCACATAAATCTTGCCACTCTTGTGGCGTCTTCGAGCTATCAATGCCTACTACCGGTTCTCCCTCTATCGGTAACCCATAAAGAAGAGCCACATCCTGTAGTGTAACAGTGGCTTCCCCAACTTTAAAATGAAAAGTATGGGTCTCTGGTCGCCATCTCTCAACAAGAGCAGTGATAAATGCATGATCTAGTTTTATCAGTCCTACCCGATAGACCCCGTAAAATCCAGCACTAATCAATATGTGTAGGACGCGTCTTTGAACCTGGGACCAAAAACCACCATCGCATCGACGACAAAATAAGACAGCTTCCACCTCACCACCCCATACATCTTCTGACCTATGATTTTCTTGTCTTGTTAAGACACTGCGATCTAACGGACCAGGATGTAGTTGGGTCAACCTCTCGTTCTCCATCTAACAAAATATCTGACAAGTGCAAATTGTTTCAGTTGACAAGCCAAAAGGAAAATTGGACTTTTGAAAAGGCTTTACACTCTTGAAGTCTCTGTTAACATTTAGTTATGCCATGATTTTACAAAGTAATTCAAGATTTAATCAAAGCTTTAAAATAAGGGAGCAAGTAGGGTAAAAGAAGAGGAATAGATTCGGCTTTTGAGGAGTTCAACTAAGTTAAAAGATACCTAAAAATCAAAACGAATTACAACAGAATAATCAACACCTGTTATATCAGCTTCTATATCTTGTATCTTTGCCTCGAACCAAATAAAGTCGATTCAACACAAATGTTGAGAGGGAGTCAACCTGGACTTAACAATGACAAAAAGTTAGAAACCAGTAAGAGTGTCAACAATATCAAAAATAATCATAATGCCACAAGTATGTCGATGAAAAAGCTCATAAGTTATAAACACGGTAAATCATTATTCAAGCAAAAATCATGAATCTGAACAACAAACATCCATTATAAATGTGCAAACAAACATCCATTATAAATGTGCATACCGAGTTTCAAACAAAATAAATTAAAAATTGGAGTTTTGGCAAAATTTATATTCTTACCATCACACAAATATACTCAATTTTAACTAATAAAGGGGAAATAAGTCGAATCTCCTACAATACACTTCAACGTGCGTGCAAGAATATAAATGACATGTTAAAGAAATATGTTAAATTTCCTATACAAAACCTACTTACTACAATCGCTATGTCTGTCCTTTTTGAGGTATTAACAACGATGAAGATAGATTTACACCTCCAGAAGTGATTAGAAGTAAAATCAGGATGGCTTTATACTCTTTTTCTGGGAAGATTTGGCGAGTGCATCGTAGAATTCTCTTCTACGTTTGTTGTTGTTAAAGACATTACTGGTATTGATGTTGTTTGTTTTGACGCTCACGAAGAATTTCAACAAAAACCAAAAAATAAAACCTTTTGGATAATAGAGTACCTGATGCTTCTATTGTGGGGATTGAAAGGTTGAAAAGATGGGACCTCTACATTTTGGGAGGCAAAAGTTTTTCTTTTAAATTATATGAATTTTTTTTTATATATACACACTCTTTAATACTCAAAAAATTTATAAAATAATATTTAAAATTAAAATTATGTTATCTTACATACAATATTAATAATGTAAACTAAAATGATACTCTCTCCGTTTAACTAAGAATGGTCTAGTTTGACTTGGCACGAAGTTTAAGAAAAAATAAATAAGATTTTTTATCACGTGATCCTAAATTAAAGTTATGTTGAACGTACAAAATTGCTTTTTAATCTTGTGGTATTAAACATGTCACGTGGAAAATTGCTACAAAAAAAAAGGTCATTCTTTTTTTGAAACGGAGGAAGTAATTATAACATCTTATCATTTATCTTTTCAATCAATCATTTGTCTTTTTGCCTCCATAAAGTGTTACTATTTGATATTTTTGAAAATTAGATGAACATCAACATGACATAATAAAGTTTCTAATGACTAAATAATTTTTATTTGTGCTAACAAATATATTTATCAACAATAACTTTATAAAAACATAAATAAACACAAAAACAACAGTTAATATCATAAGCATAAATTAATCACTGATATGATAAGATTTCTACTCATTCAAAAGGCAATATGAATATTTATTTTCATTTGTGACATGATATATTTTTTCAACATATATAACAAAATTCAGTACGTTGAAAATATAATTTTACGTCTTAATTTCAGAAGGGTATTTTTTTGCAACAGTAAGCAATACGTAGCTAAGATCATACAAAAGAGTTAAACACAAGGCGAAGTAGAGGTATTTGACAAAGGCAAATATAATCTTTTAATTATCACAATAAATGTTTCATGATCAGACACATTTTCCCTTCACATGATTTTAAATATTTAAGCGTCTAATACTTTGATTTTTGTCCTCATTATGATTTTCATCCTCCCATTTCAAAAACACCAAACTCAATTCATTCGATTTGGTATACGCTGCACACATATTTTAACAATAGTATTGTTTAGGTAAGAGAAATATTATTGATTGTGTCACTCGCCTCTCTCTTATTCTCCCTTGTCTTACCTCCCGATATAAGTATTTGTATTCCTAGATGTAACTATTGTGGTTCAAACGTATTCATGATACACACAATCTATAATGACCCATAGGGTCATTTTTGGAAATTTTCATCAAATTACCGTTTTACCCCTCCTCATACTAAGCCCGGGTCATTTCTTATTGAAATTTGAATTTTGGATTCGGATTTTGAGTACAACTAGTGTGATTCACCTATATTCAGGATACATCGACTTTATCATGACCCATAAAGTTATTTTTGGAAATTTCATAGAGTCGGTGTATCCTGAATACAAATGAACCACACTAGTTTTACTCAAAAATCGAATCCAAATTTAAAAATACTGTCGTAAAAATACCCGTGGCCAAAGTGAGGAAGGGTAAAATGGTAATTTGATAGAAAAATGACTCTATGGCCAAATTAAATACATCGTCCCTTAACATAATAGTAAATATTTAATCGTCTAATACATTGATTTTTGTCCTCATTATATTTTTCATTCTCGCTGAAAATCCATTTTAAAAATATCGAATTGAATTTGTTAGATTGGATATACGGTGCACACATTTTTAACAGTACGAATGTCTAGTTAAGAGAAACAATGAGTGTCTCTCTCTTATCTCGCTTGTCTTACCTCCATATATAAGTATTTGTGTTTAAAAATGTAACTAGTGTGGTTCACATGTATTAGGATACACCGACTCTATAGTGAACTATTTTATAAATTCTCGTTAAATTAGTATTTTACCCCTCTCGATATTGGCCCCGGGTAATTTTTTATTGGATTTTGAATTTTAGCTTAACTTGCTCTACACGGACCCTCGAACATCAATTTCTTGAATAATTTTTACCGAAAAATTATAAAAACACATAGAACATACAACTTTTTGGCTAACTTGCTCTTCACAAACCCTCGAACATGAATTTCTTAGGATAATTTTTTTCGAAGTTCTTTTTCTTTCGATGCAATAAACAAAAGGACAAAAATTCCGTTACCGGGAATCGAACCCGGGTCTCCTGGGTGAAAGCCAGATATCCTAACCGCTGGACGATAACGGATTGTTGCATACAAATTGGTGCATGTTTTATTCAATGGTACACCCTATTGTATAGAAATTTGTTAGCAAAAAAATTAATATATGGTTCGACTAATCTAGATTCAAAGTCCGTAAGTTCCATTGGGGTTAAAAAGTTTTCTTTCAAACATGAATTTATACCCAAAATATGAATTTGAGACCTTTAATTAGAGATTGAGAAATATACGTAAATCTCTTTGTTTTTTTTACTTAATAAATGAGCTTTATTTAGTCTATTAGAAATTAAACTTGGAAAAGAATACAAAATATCTTAAATTAATTATAAAAAATAATATATTTCATATACATATATAATTATACATTTGTGTATATAATTTATAGACTCAATTTGACTTTTTATCCGATTTGTATTTAGTCAAACCAAACCAAATATTCATTGGTCTTTAAAAATATAAACCAAATAAAAATCAAACTAACCCACATAAACTGGACAGATGAAATAGTTATATTCCTATCTATATATAGTTTGGTTAGTTGTAAAAAAACCCTATAAACCTGGCCTAGCTGTTGAAGATAATAACTATTTTCAAGAATCTTGTTCTTTTCTTTTAAAAAAATATATATTTTTCCTTGTTTATTGTTTAAAAAAAAAATTGCAAAGAGATGAGAATTAGGTTATGGGGAAATATGTCAAGTGTGACGATACTATTAATATTTTTACATTTTTTACAAGGAATTTATGGGATTAGATTTGTAATTGACAAAGAAGAATGTTTGTCTCATAATGTTCATCTTGAAGGTGATACAATTCATGTATCTTTTGTTGTCATTAAAGCTGATACTCCTTGGCATTCTTCTAATGAAGGTGGTGTTGATCTTATGGTATGGTACTTTCTTTCCCCTTTTATGTATTATCTTTCGTTATCGGATTAATTTCACGTATGATCATCGAACTAAGAGTCATATAGTTATGTTGTGTTAATGATTTGATAGAGCTAGCTAGAGACGGGGGGTTATCTGAACCCTCTTCGACGAAAAATTACATTGTTTATATATGTTTAAAATAATTTTTTTTATGTCTATGTAGTAGATATTGAATTAAATGAAAATTCTGAGTCTGACAATATGGAAGGAAAAAGATTATTATCTTAAGAATATTTGTAATGTCATATATAGGATATGGCATAACAACTTCGTATGGATGTGGAGACGACGTTAGATAGGAAGTTATGGAGGTTGACGATTAGGGTAGAAGGTTAGTAAATAGTTGAGTGTTGTCGGTTTTTTCTTTGGGGGGGAGATAGGAGGTGGGATAGCCTCTTCCGATCTCCTCTTGTCCTACTAGTAGTATTATTTATTTATCGCGTAGTTTCGTATTCTTTGATGTGTATTACTATTTGTTGATGCATTAATTTGTTACAAATTTCAGTTTTATGAATTTGCTTACCTTGGAGCAATTGTAGAGTTGTCTATGTGTGACCAATAGGTCACGTGTTTGAGAAGTTGAATCAGTCATTGATGTTTGTGGCACGGTGTGACTGACTTGAGATCCGATGAATTAGTCGAAGTACACATAAGTTCGGCTTGAACCATCATTATAAGTAAACAAATTGTTTTTAAATGCTTGTTTTAAGAACATCACTTACTTGAGTCGAGGGTCTTTCAGAAATTAACCTCCACGTTATCGTTATCTAACATAGTATTCGATCTGTCACATCGAAACAAAATTGAATGTTTACGTTATCATGTAATTATCTGTCCCTTTCAGTCATTGTACTCTCTGTTATTGTTTTCAATCTGTTGCAATTCTCAGATAAAAGGGCCATCAGGTGAGCTAATTCATGGCTTCCGCGATAAGACTAGTGAGAAATACGAGTTTGTTGCTTACAAGAAGGGTATTTACCAGTTCTGTTTCACGAACAAGTCTCCGTATCATGAAACCTTAGATTTCGATGTGCAAGTTGTACATTACGCATACTATGATCAGCACGCGAAGAATGGTACTAACCCCCTCTTGGAACTGTCATTTCGCGTCCATCTTTTCTTCAATTCTGTTGCTATACTTACTAACAAGAACAAAATTTCGCGTAAATGCCTACAGAGCACTTTGATCCATTGCTGGACCATATATCAAAGTTAGAAGCAGCTCTTTACAACATACAGTTTGAACAACATTGGCTCGAAGCACAGACTGCTCGTCAGGCATCACGTATGATTTTCTTATGACTTTCACCCTTTTAGAGTCCCACATTAGATAGTCGGATTTGAGTTATGCCTAAGGTCTAGAGTCGTACGTTGATTGAGGATATGAGTAGTTGATCGTAGACGATCATCATCTCATGATCTAGTTACTGGAGTCGAGTTAGGACCAAGATCCATTTTCTTCGTAGCTAAGAATCACGCGTTCTCTATAGTCTAACTATTTCCTTTGTTGGAAATGCAGTGAATGAAGGTATGAGCCAAAGAGCAATCACAAAGGCACTACTTGAATCAGTAACTCTTATTGGTGTTTGCTTCCTTCAAGTCTTCCTCCTACAACGTCTTTTCGAAAATAAACTTCAGAAGGTTAGAGTCTAGACTGCCCTACTGGAACTAGCCATCAGACATGTCGGAAGTTCACAGTTAATCAGTTCAAAAACCGCGTCTAAAAACCAAAATAATCTGTTTTTCTTGTACTGAAACAGTGAGATGTTAATTTCACAGAGGAAATTATACACTACGGTTTCATCCTTTAAGGTTCTCAGCATTAAACTCGTTGTATTTCACAGAATTATGAGTTCAAAACTTATGCTCGATTGCTCGTAGAGAAGGTCTACCACAAGGCTGCTTCTGCTTATGGTGATAGATATACGTTTCAAAACTCGCTCTCTCAACTCAAAAATGTACAGTGTTTAAATTTTGAATCCGACATTTGATTTCATTGAGCATACATACAGCTTAGACGTCTGCACTGGTTCAGATATTTGCGATCATTGAAAGGAAATGTCAATCGAGAAACACAGGTAAAAGTAATGACAACAAAAACCAACCTCCCAAAGCCTTGACAAGAAAATGGGAAGATAATCGATTATTATAAACTCGAAACTAGAAAAAAGTTAAGCACAGATGCAGCAATATGTTCTGGTAGCAAAACACAGTACTTTCATTTCAGTTGTTTATAAATGACAGTGTTTTATCCCACCGAGATCGATCCATCATAGTTTGACAGAGTTCATCACTCAACAGCACCAGACCGCATACAGCAGAACCATTTCTTCTGAAAAAGTAACATGTTCACAAGATTATTTATCGCGAACTTCTCAAATCTATTGCATACATACTCTTGATAAACACATGGAAAGGTATTTTGATAACCGTGCCTCCTTAGTGTTTTGTCTCTGATGGGATCAACCCACGTCATTGACCACTAGACTAACTCTTGTGTGCGAGACTCCTTGAGTGTTTTAGTCAACCCAAAAGTTAGCTCACAGGTGAAAATTGTCGAAAAACATATAAGGAGACAACAATGCACCCCGTCAACCAAGACATTTGGAGTGTGGACAATGCATAGCACATTAGCGTAGAGACACAACGTTCATGAAAAGATATCATCGAACCATCACAACTTGTAGTTATAGAGTCAGCTAGAACTTACAGATTGAGGCTTCCCAAGAGTTGCTGTATGCTTGTGGTTACTCTTTGGTGGCGCGTCTGCCTTTCCACCTGACCTTTTCTCATTTCTAGCTTTGTTAAAGATCACCGTGAACCCCTCAGCTGTAGCTGGATCATTGACATCCCACTCACCGAATTTTGGAAGTGGTCGTCCTGCTTCCTATAGCGATTAATATGTAACTATGAATCTCGTATAAAACATCAAAGTCGAACAACTTGAATAAACCAGAGAAGCAAATAACTACATCAAGACCATAACAGTAGATTGTGGAAGCAAACACCAAGGGAAAAATGGCAATTTTACTGATGACTCGTACTCATCAACTCGTGTAGTCGTGTATATATATGGATCAAGTATCTGTTCAACTAAATCCGAATTCATTCAAAGAGTTTGTTGATTTTCAGACACAATTCTGTTATATGATTCTAAAGCTTACTCATTTCATGATCATAATCAATCATCATATTATTGCACCTGGTGCATATGCACGTATGGGCACACCTCGACTAATTTCACAGAATACCTGACATCTCACTCCAACAACACGTACCAGATAACTCTAGTACTAGTCTCACAATTGTTGCTATATAACATGTTTTTTTTTCCCGCTTTATTTAGGAATCTTGATCATATAGTATTTCGCCATTTCAACAATTATATTTTACTTCAATACCATAGAAAAACATATATGAAACAAGAGAAAGATCTTAAAAAACATCTAGAGTCAAGTCACTACATCAAAGATGATTTTTTAGCGGCAGAAATATTCTAATCGCAGCTAAATATGTTCTTTTAGAGGCAAGTAACATTTTTTGTTAATATGCATATATATTACCGCTAAAATTGTTTTTGTTTGTAATGTATAATCCCGCAAGTAAAGTCTGAAAATTAAAAACTTAATGTACGCAGACCTTAGAAATTGTTTCCGATAGATCCTCGATACACATTACCAAAACAAGCTAGAAAGCAAAATAAAGGCAGCCATATGAATCTTAAAACAACATTATAAATTCACATGGAAACCATAAAATTTGCACAAAAATCAACAATTTCATTGTGAAAGAATACAACATTTATATATATATTGATAGATATGTATATATACATACCTCCATCAATTTCGAGTTTGGAAATAGAGAAATTGTTTCTGGAAATGATTGATTTGATTATGTATTTTTAAAAAGAATTAATTTCAATTTTTTTTTCTTTTAGTTAGAAAAAAAAGGGGAGAGCCTTTTTTTAATAAAGGAAAAAAAAAAGAGAGAGAATCTCTCTCTCTTTTTCTTTCTCTTTCTTGGACTCTACAAATGAAATATGGAAATGAGGAGAGATTTAAAAAAAAAAAAAGAAAGATAAAAATTAACCGTTAGAATATATCGATAACCTCTTAATTTCATAGTAAATAATTTATTGAGATCTTAAATTTTGCGGGTTCACTTTGCTAGATCTTATATTTTGTGGGTCCGTTGCAATGCCTATTAAATGATACTTCATTATTTTTAAAAGATGGATATCGTTCTTTTTGGAATTTATGTGTTATGATATATGAATTAAAGACTCGATTTTTCATTAATCCCTAAATCTTTCATAATATATGTGACTATACTCTTTGAGCTTAAATTTTGTGCGTTAATTGATAATGACCTATTAAATCATACTTATTATTTTTTAAAATGTAAATGTCGCATTTTTTGAGTTTATGATATTTTTACGATGAATTCTTTTGGAGTGTGTCATGACCTATTAAATAATACTTATTATTTTCTAAAGTCATGCGTCATTTGTAGAATTTATGTATCACAAAATGAGAAATCAGAAAAATCTCAAATTTCAACTCGTATTAATTGTGTTAAAAGGTGTACAAAATAATTTAAAAGTAATAATATATTTCATACCATAAAGAGCAAATGGATTGCAATAAACTTACTACAAAATACACCAATGAGTTAACAATTTTAATAACGATATCAAATATTATTATGAAAATCATAGCAAAGTACATGGATATAGCATCAATGAAATAAAATAACGAAAAATTAAATATCTCAATAACATAAAATAAAACTTTAAAATGGGTTCACCTTCCATAACTGATAATTAATTTTAATTTTGTTTCAACCATTAAATCCCAAATCTGAGGATGAAGCTCCAACTTCCATTTGATTCAATCGATTTTGCACATTAAAAGCAATAGTCTTCAACCAAGTCTCATAAGTTGACACTTCATTTGCATTAAGCCGCTCAATCGACTCCCACCAACCTTTCGATCTAGCATTAATCATTTCATCGTATGATTGGTTCTTAGCAATTTCAATGTTTTCTATGGCATCGAGTACTTCAAGCTTAGTTTTGAGTTCTTTCACTTTTTCTCGATTATGAGCCGCGACTAAAAGCGCACTTTCACTTGGTTCAATATCGAGATTCTGAAAACGAGAAACAACTGCATCAACATTTGGGTGAAAAAACGAGAAAGGATTACCTGCGGGAGAAAAAAATATCATTCCAATGTCGACATCGCATTCAAATACAAGATTGCTAGCTTTTTTGTATAAACTCATACGGCGCTTTGAAAAGCTAGTATTTAGGTTACCATAATTTTCTATTTTTCTCATTGGTATCTTTCGGCGTCCTTTAGGTTTCTTATTCTCCATTGCTAATCTATCACCAAAATGAAAAAAAAAAATTATTAAAGAAATGTTTTGTGAGAAATGATGGTTAAGAGAAGGGAAATGTCACAACTATTTATATACATCAAAATTTTATTGCAATTAAATATTTTCCAAATATTATATTGGAAAATGATCTGTTATACAATCAATTTTATTCTTAATATGTATTTTCCATATAGTGAAAATCTAGACTAAACTTTAAATCATTGAATAAAATAACTTTTAAGTTAATTCATTAAATGAATAAAATCTAGACTTTTAAATTAAATTAATAAATAGAATGAAATTTAGACTTTTTTAGTTAAATCAATAAACAAAATGAAATCTAGACTTTTAAGGAAAAACAATGAATAGTTCCACTATACTCATAATATTTATATTTATCAAGTTAGAAACACCAGATATAAACATAATTTAAAGAAAAACCAATTACATACCAAATATTTATATGTATTAGCAAAAAAAAAAATTAATATCAACCAAAACCAAAGAATAATCTTTTTGTGTATAATGAATTTTACTATGTCTAGGTAGTTAGCAACTTATTGAACTTAGAAATGATACAAATTTCATACCAAATACAATATGCATCAACATCAAACAAACATTATTTTGAATAAGATCTGAAATATTATCATTAACCACCAACTGCAAATAATCCATATGGCGATACACTAGCTGTTTTCGACATATTAACTAGGTATTTATACGAAACAACGCCAGATTTTCACAGTAAAAGGAATATGAAAACGAGAATGCAGCACAGGTGCAGCATTTGTTTCCAGTGACACTTTATCGGAGAAGATTGAAAAACCGTGCACACAGTGAGATTGCTATAAGGTGTGTATCATCGCGGGGTTAGTTAAAGGAAAAGGATTCTAGAGACATTACAGTAACACAAGATATACACAAACTTTGTGTCACTTTGTAGTTGTTTTAACACAGATATGAATCCAAACGCGGTTGTAATTGCAGCATCTGCAAAAATACCTGCTCTTCCAAAGCTAACTTCTTATAGAGTCTCTGTTGATGACTTACAAACTCCAAAAATAAATCTTTTGCCTGCTTTGCTTTTCTGTATGCTTCAGTTCCTGTTTTTACTATTATCAAGTCTTGGCAGATACTTTTTGCCTGATATACATCCTACACCATACCGAGAAAACACGACGGAGAGAGCAATCAACCTCAATAAACTGAAATAAAACATTTGATGTATATAATATGAAATACACATCATAAAATGTTCAGGCCTTGAAGCTCCTCCATAAGTTTAAGATTCTTTTAAAAAATATTTCCTGCAATCCTTCAAGTATTTGCTTATTTGTATCTAGACTAGTCTTGAATTCAAGACTCCACCACACATCATATAGTGTAATATGTACTGGCAATATGTCGAATGAAACCAATTTTACCTTATCAGCCTAAAATTTCACCCTTCTTTTTCTCTGTTGTAAAGACAAAAAGACACCTTATTTCTTTTCCATATGTGTTCTTTTATTTCAGCATGCCTTCTTCTTATTGTATTCACTTTCGATACTTGATTTTGATTTACTCTACACACCACACTCTCTAGACCCCACTTGTGGGATTACACTGGGTATGTTGTTTTCGTTGAAGCGCTCCCACAATTATGTGTAAAAGCACATTTCTCAAGACCATGAGTATACAAATTTACTACAGATAAGTTTGATTCCTAAATGTTAAGAGCAATTGATCCCACATTCTCAGCTCTCCTGTTATCAATCAGTTAAAGTCAATCTAAGTTTGACTAGTGACAACTGGGCATCCAGTTTTTCACTAGTAACGAGTAACTATTAGATATGCATGTCTCTAGATTATCAAGAAACTTCATATATATGATATTTTCCAATACGTTGTCAACTAAACTCATTGTGAAGTAGCAGTGACAGTAGAATGTACCATACTGCACATCTAACAATTATGGCTCATTAGTTGTCCTAAAACCATTATCAAATCTAACCAATAAATAGCATAAACGATACCTGGGAACTGTACATTAAGCTCCCAAGCGATGTCTTAATCATGGATTGTCTCATATCTATTTCACTTATAACCATCGGCCTGTAAAGGGAAATGGAAAAAAGTAAATAACCCATTAGGCCTTCATCAATCTAGAGGACGTATGAACATCATGAAAATTCTACTCTTGAGTGATAAAAAGAAATATGATCTACACATTGAGCAAAAATCATAGAGCGATATCTAAGGATTTCAGATGTTTAAACTACATTTATAAATTTTTTTTTTAAAAAAAACAAGGTAGTGCACACAGAACCAGAGTGTTGCACTTCCTTTCCAGCTTTTTCGCCTTTGAAGTAGATATTGGGGGATGATAGAATAAAAAAAAACTTTCAACTTCTGAAAATGAAAAACAAAAACAAATAGTGCCTCAATGAACATGACATTTTTTCAAGCAACCGCTAGTTGAAAATTGGGAAGATAGTATGTTCGGCCTAATTTGTACATATCAATTGTGGACACCAAGGCTAGCTAGGACAGATGGGAAGAAGTCACCTACTGTTTTTTTGTGTGTCTCTGCAGGACCACTAGGCTACTACAGTGCTGGGGAACTTTATTTGAGTCTGTTCTTTCTTTTAATTGACTATAATATGACAGACCGGAACTCAGGAAATGTAAGCATGCCAAAAAAATTGAAAAGAAAAAAAAGTTTGAGAAGACAAGCAAGCTTGATAAAACTTTACGTCATGAATACACGCCGATGCTATCTACGCATCTAAAATAGTTTAAGGGCCCGTTTGGATGGGCTTAATAAAAGCAGCTTTAAAAAAGTACTTTTGAAAGTGCTGAAACTTATTTTTAAAATAAGCAGTTATGCGTTTGGATAAAAGTGCTGAAGTTATTATGCCAAACGTGAAAAGGGAAAAATAGAAGAAAGAGATGTTAGGATTATATGGGTAATTTGGAGATTGTATAAAAATATTAAGGGAAAAAACATAAAAACGTGGTCAACTTAAAACAGCTTATAAGCTAAAAAAAAAAAGCACCCCTACCCCAGCTTTTAACTTTTGGCTTAAAATAAGTTTTTTTTAACTTAAAATAAGCTATTTTGAGTATTGCCAAATAGTTAAATAAGTCAAAAACCAGCTTTTAAGTCAGTTTGACCAGCTTTTAAGCTGAGCCAAACAGGCTCTAAGTGGCTGGTAATTGTGGCACAGAAGCTCTTCTAAGTAGAATATCCAAAAATCTATTTAAGCAAGTTTGATCCACGCCAAGGCGCCAAGCATGATCTTTAACTGAATGAAAATGTGTTTTAGCTCATAATCTGTATAGAGGCAGGAACCAATGATTCTGATACACTCAAACAACATAACTATAACGGGAGATAGATTATTATTATTATTATTTTGATGAAGTAAGCATACAAGCAGATGCAATACGAAGGGGGATCAGTCAGGTCAGTAAGAACAAAACACTTACCGAGTTGAGCTGACAAAATCCTGGAAGTGATCTAAGTAATTTACAGGGAAAGTATTAGCCAGGTAAAAAGGTTCACCAAACAACTAGCCATAAATACAGGTCTAATTGATACACGTAATAATGGTATAGAACACATCAATGAAGCCTATGTATTGATAATAATAAGAAGAAACAATTCTTTTTGGTGAAGACAATAGAATGTAAAGAGAGAAGATTACAAAAGGATCAACTACTTAGCAAGGAAACTAATTCTGGAAAGTACCTTCCCTTTGAGGACACAACAAGGTGCGCTGGATTGTCCAAAAACCGGTTTATTTTTTTAAGCTTCTCTTCACAATCTACCACGATGATGCCTCGTGCATAGGGCATATATGACGGGCACGGGTAAATATATGCTTGTGACCAAACAGAAGTGTGCTTATGTATGAAATCTCTCAATGACGAAGGGAACAAGGTTCTCTCCAAGTTCTCGACTAGCATGAGATGATAATTTGAGCATTGCCCTCCTAGATCTTTATCATGATCCCTATGCCTGCTATAGTCTGTTGCTGCATTTCAGAATGAAGAACTTAGAAAAAGTGCAATTACCACATCGTAACAGGTGATGGAGTTCCATAGCACACCTTCTGTTGTACATCTCACGTCAACCGCATTCCTGGCACTGCTAATCCCCTACAAGGAAAGGAAGAGGAGAATGATATAGGCACATGCATTATCACTCAAATTACTGAATGCAATATCACTCAAATTACTGAATTAGAAGGTGATAACTTGCCTTAACGGATGAATCTGACTTTTGTTCAGAAGACGAATATCTGACTCTTTTTGTACGAGACGATCCTTTGGATGCTGAATTGTCTTGCTCAGATGTAGAAGTTGACTTGCAAGAAGACTTTCTGTGTTTCTGGTTTACCAATTCCAAGAAGGAGGATATTCTAGGATCAACTTGGGTTGTGCCTTTTATGATACATATGCCTTCAATTCCAGAATTAGCCAAGTCATCCTTCTTTGGGCCATGAAGCCAGGATAGTACAAAGGTACATGTGCACTCCTCCACTCCATTGTGAAATGTATGGTTCTTTTTGTGTATCTGCCAGAGAGAGGAATAAGAAAATTTGAAGAAAGTGAATTAGGCCAACGAATCGATATGAATCAAGTAGCCCTGTCTTCCTCTTTGAGTCTTGCTACTTTTACTTTATATGTTATGATAAACCCACATTTAGAGCAACAAAAAAACTGATACAAACTTTAATGAGGTTCAGCAAAGATGTCAACATCCTCAAGAAAGATGGTAAGAAAATTTCAGTATGCTCAAAAGAACAACAGCGACAATCATTTTCCAAGTTCTTAGAAACTTTAGTCCCCAATATGTTCACAAACCCACTTGCTTAGTTTGTCTCACACTCTATCCCTCTTCCTTTTTCCTTTCCTATCACACCCTAAACTGTACAGAAACACTAGAATGATCATTGTCCTTTAAAGAAACTTTTTTTATCACAGATAAGGAAATACTGAGGAAAGAGCCTGCAGTATCTTATTAATATCAATTACCATAAAACTCAACCCACATCAACAATTGCTCCCTTTGCTTGAGCCTTGAAGTCCTCCATTATCAACAAGGAATTATCTCATCACACCATCTTGTCAAATTACCTTCACAAGGCATCACTTAGTACAGCCAACTCCAACTGAGTCTTGGAAATGCCTAGACTACGAACCAAAACTGCCTTGATCATAATATCTGATGGATATGCATTTGTAGAAATCTTTTGACAACTATAATAGCACTGGATACAATATCTCTGCTGAAGTGATATTTAACAACAGTATTCTCTGTACGCTCATGATACACTCAATTCTAGTGAGATGAATGGCACTCTGACTGTAACAAAATATTGATGCCTTGCTCTTTTTTAGCCTGAATTCAGTCACTTGCTAATCAGCCTAAAACTTCATTCATCAACCTGTGGCCAAATAAATGTTTTACTGCATCCGTAAGAGAGCCACTTACAGAGACTCCATGATAGACAATGCAACTTTAGTTTGTAAATTTGCATTTCAATTGACATCACAAGTCACCACCACAATGAGTAAGCAAGTAGCAGTTAAATATCTCCTCCTACACAAGACCTCAACATAGAATTAATATGTCATCTTGCTTTTCGATGAATGTCAGACCAATATCTGTACTACTTTTCAAATATCTCAAAATTCATTTCACTGTTTACTACAGCACAAAAAAATGCTTCACTATCTGCTACTGCTTTTTTCAAGGACATGCCAGATTTCTATTCACCTGGGGTGGATGTAGGCTTTAAGGTATGGGTCCACCAGATTCCAATAGTATTGGCCCATACCCTGTATATGTGCTAAGAGAATTCACTAAATATGTACAGAAATAAAAGTCAGAACTCATTACTAAAACTTGAGATTGTCTGTAACCCATAAAGGCCAAATCTTGGATCCATTTCTGCTACTCACCACACTAACAACATAAAACATCTTCGGACACTGCACTACATAATGCTACCAGTGCATATATTTCAGCTTTATTTCTTAAGACCCTTAATCTCTATTGTTGTTTCCATAATTTGGTTGACACCCTCACTAGTTTTGCCTATTAACACATTATCATTTGCGTATAGCTTATGCAAGCAAGTACAGAACTACAGGCTCAATATCAACCCCTGCTGAACCCATAATAATGGGAAATTCTTTTGTATCTCCAATTACTGTTCTCACGCTAGTTTTTTTGAAAATGCACTTTCATAAATATCCTTAAGTAATTTTTGTTTGTTATAACTTGTCAATTAAATAAAAGTTCAACATTCTTATTTCATGCTTTTTTTTATAGTTGAAAAGGAACAGAAGATTACTTGCAACTGTTGATAACAAGGAGATAAGCACTCCATTTAGAGCTGCCACATTAAAAGAGAAGTACACATGCCATGAAAATGTTGCTCTAGTGAGCTTATAATTTGGTATGACTGAAAAAATTGCCTAAATCGCAAATTAGTGATCAACTCATCAACCAGACAACCCCAGAACACTATGTATCCTTGATTTCTAAGGATTCATCATACTTAGACTATGTCAACCTACCTCACCTTCATCCTTTATCCGTGCTTAGGACCTATACAATGCTAAAAGATAACATATGCGAGTTGATTAGTTTGAAATGACTGTTAAGAAGTTAATACCAAGTAATATTAATCAAGTTGCCTCAATCCTGAATTAGCTGTTATCAACCGCAGAACCCTCTGTATCCTTGAATTCAAAGGTTCATCATAGTTAGACTATGTCAACCTTCCTCACCTTAAGTTCCTCCTTTCTAAGTTGCTTGGACTCCTCATTTTCGGTACCGCACCCATGTCGACACGATGTGGGTGTGGGTTCGGGATCCACACCCGATCTGGTCAATCAGTTCTGGATACTTTGACCAAATTTGAGAAAGAAATTCCGGGCAGACTCAATGATGTTTGTAATTTTATAACCTAAGATGAAATTGAAGAAAATGAAGTATCTTGTATATATAAATTTCTATTATCACTCCCTTTCCTTTTATCTCCTTCCAAGATTCTCCTCTTGATCATTATTTTCTCCTCGAGCTATCCACATAATATCTCATAATTTAGGCTTTATCCCTCTAATGTAGCCGAATTCCTGCACTTGTATCCACACATGGAACTATATCCCCGAATCTTAAGATTAGGACTCAGAGGATCCGACCTCTAGATCCACACCCGTAGTAGACACCCGGACCTGAGTCCGAGCAACTAAGCCTCCTTTCATTCCATGAGTAGGACCTCTATGCTTACAGAATATTCAGATAAAATTTCTAAAGTAGGTTAATATATAACCAGCCCCTTAAGCTTTAGACACTCAAACAAAGTCAAATTTCAATTGAACATCTCAACTCCTAATGAAGTCTTCAATAAGACACTTAAGGTTCAAATTTTGGGAAAAAATGTTTTTTCATTCTTATATCAAGTAATTCAGTCAACCATACAAAATATGTCATATGCATTTCTCTCAGTAAGCAATAAAAGCCAGATACTTTCTACCTGAGGTTGATGATATATTAATTGTAGCTAACTTAAATATCCACTAGATGAATGAAAACATGCCCAATTTTTTTTCAATTCGAACAGTTTATCCAGTTAACGGTGATCAATTTGAACATGACTTAGTTCGAGTGGAATATTCTTCCACTGACTATGTGTTAAGCCTTCTGAAAACCTATGATCATACTCAACATCTGGAACTGAGAATTGAACAGAATCAGAACGTAATAGAAATAGCTACCTCGATTAAATGCATCTGAAAAAAATTAAAAATTTCTCACACTTCAAACAATTCATAACTTACCGCTTCAACAACGGCATCGTAGAAGAGCATATCATCTTTGCCAAAAGCATTACAAGCCGCACAGACAATCATCCCTTCCTTAACACTACTGCATTCATTATCCTGCAGCTGTGGCGAAACATTCCTAAACCTCCTAACGAATTCATCCATTTCCTCCTTCGATTTCAAGTCATCAGCAAGGAATTTCACATCGAATTTTTCCGGATATCCCTCGAACTTCACCGTCATCGTTTCACCGTCCACCGTCACTAGCACACCGTACCATGAGTCATCTCCCTTGTACCGATGCTCTAAATCGTACTTCGCCGGATTTCCGTCGGGCTTTTTCATTTCCGGCACCGGTAAATTCATCAAATCTTCTAGAAACTTCGACCGTATGTATACGTATATTTGAAAACTGTGGGAAAATGAAATTTACAGTAATCCGTAGCTTTCCTATGTCATTTATTTATTTATATTTATTTGCTTTTTGTTGTTTTGCAACAATAACAATAATAATTGTCGGAGATCGAACGTACGCAAATTTTATTATTATCTTGATTATATGTATATGTAAAAATGAAAAAGTTATTTTTAAAGAAATTTCAGTTCAAATGTATCAAATCGGAGTAACATGGTTAGATTGTAATAAAAGGTTTATATATAGTACTTCCAACATTTATATTTAGAAAAGTAATTAATTTTTGAAGTTAAATTAGATTATATTAATTTAATATTTTAAACAAAAAATTTAACTAGTCAAGAATTATACAAAAGCTCTAGGCTTTGGATATCGAGTGAGAAACCAGAAACAAAAAAAAAGAAAGGTAGCCAAGTTCACATTTTTCTTCAAAAAAAACCACAACTTTTCTTGCACTATGTCAAAAAAATACACATTTGTGCTTATGCAAATGACAATATATCTACTCTTCAATGTCCTTATAGCTCTCATTCTTTTACCTCAAAACACAAACCTTATGTCTAGAGAGAAATACTACACAAATGTTACTGTGAAATCGAATACGAAATTATAATTCAAAGTACTCTAGAAAAGAATGAGGCACTTCGAAATCTTAGACATTGTTGATCTGTACGTGGAAAGAGCATTTAAACTTGTTCCTTCTCTGCATCATTAGGATTCTTTTGTGTGTTGTCAATGCTCGTATCGTTCCAATTCTTGAGCTCTTCTTCCGAGTCTTCAAGAGTAGTACTAAGATGTTGTGTCTTGTACTGATGTCTCGTTGAGAAAACAAGGAACACGAAGTAATTGAGTACTCCGAGTACTGCTAACATCCAGTAGAAGTAGTCTAGTTTACCGTTGTTCAAGTTGTTTTTAAGCCAGCTTCCGTTTGTTACCTTATGTACAATCGACACTAACAAGCTACTCATAAAAAATCCCATTGAAAGCGTGCTGAGGAATAGCCCCGTGCTCATTGATTTCATTCCTTCTGGTGCTTCTCTGATGAAGAACTCGAGTTGTCCAACGTAGGCAAAAGCTTCACCAGCACCAACGATGAAAAACTGAGGGACTAACCAAAATGCACTTATGTTATAATCATGGTGTATCGCGTTTTCCCTTCGTTGTTTCTCTACAACAGCTGCAGCTACCATACCAACAATAGATAGTATAAGTCCAATTCCAACTCTTTGAAGGCTTGTGAGTCCTTGTCTATTGCCCGTGATCCTTCTAGCTATTGGTACGGTGACTCTTTCGTTTAGGGAAGTAAACAAGAGTATAGAAATGAAGAGAAAGAAGGAAAATGAGCCTGCTGGGATGCCAAATTTGCCAACATTTCGATTCATGAAGGTAGCTTGCTCGATACTGAACGTGTTCATTTGAGAGTAGACCGTCCAAAAGAGGATACATGTAGACCATATCGGAATCAACTTAAGAACCATTTTCACTTCTTCGACTTGACTAACCGTTGATACTATCCATGAACTGATTCTGTTTTCATCTGCAACTGCATAATCATCAATAATCGCTGCCTTGTCTAAACATCTGTTGATAACAACAACACATTGGTTAGTTTTTATTCTTATGACAGATACCCTTAATGTTATGAGGGAAAAGATACGAGTTTGGATCAACGCGCACAATATCTCACCTTAGCATTTTCGTATGTGGTACTTTAGCGTTATGATATTCATTCAAGAATCCAGGATCAGAAGGGTGAGAAATTTTCCTCTTTCGCCAAGCCAATATCAAAACTCGCCATATAATAGTCAAAGGACTTCCCTCTGGCTTCTTAAATCTATACAACGATGTTCCGCAAAGCAAAACAGCCACAGCTAGTACCATTGTTCCAGCTGATATACCATAACCCCACCCCCTTCCAACATTGTCTTGTATATACACTAGCACAGTCACAGCAAACAAAGATCCAAGGCTAATGCAGAAGTAGAACCTGTTAAAGAAGTATATCATGGCCTTATTCTCTTTAGGATTCGATGAATCAAACTGGTCTGATCCAAAACCAGACACACTAGACTTTATCCCCCCACAACCAAGCGATATGGTGTATAATGCTGCGTAGAGGAGAGCAAGCTGCTGCCCGCTGGCTTCAATGCAATGACCTTTCGATCTTGAGTCACACACGGGAGGCTTCATACTTGGGATCGATGTTGCAAGTGTCAACAGTGTTACTCCCTGGTTATAGACACAAAGAAGTAACATATCAAGTTACTTAATCATCTAACACGAGATAGTCACACAATTCAACATGGTATCAAAGCACAGCAAGAACTTCCACGTGTTTGTTTCAATGTAAAAAGAATCAAGCTCGTAAGTATCATTAAGTGAAACAAAAGTTATGTTCTCTCTAACAGCTTAAGCTTACCACAGCGGCTATGCAACCAAAGATTGCAATAGTGGCATAACGTCCGAGTTTAGCATCAGCCAAGAAACCACCAAGAAGTGCAAGAAGATTAAGTGTTCCCATGAAATTAGTAACAATGTTGGCAGAATCAGAAGATGGAAGATGTAAATCTCCAACCAAATAAGTCACCAAATTCATCGATATCCCCATAACACATATCCTTTCTGATAACTCTGTACCTGAAACAGAACAACTATGTTATACACTTAACACAAACATTTTTACCATGATCAAGAAAACAACAAAGCTCACTAGCCTACCTAAAATAAGCCCTGCACCAAGCCATCCTCCTGTACGCGATTTATCAACTGGATTTCCACGAAAATCGACTAGACCTCCATCATTTGAACCATCTTTTTCAGCATGGTTATGAACTAAAACCTGTGAATGAATGAAATGAGTTAAAGAAATATAACATAAGACATCATAACATGAACAAATATTTATCTAACTTGAAATGAGTTTAGGATATTACCATTGTTTGTGTTTATACTAAGAGAGAAAGGAGATAGAAGAGGATAGTTAATTTGATGAATAAGTAAGGAGGGGGAGGTATATATTTATAAAGCAAAAAAAAATAGAAGAAAAATGAATGAATGATTAGGCAAAAAGTTGAAAAAAAAGAAAAAGGTAGGCATTTGTACAACAGAATTTCATGTTAAATAACTATTATAGATCATAAGGTAACTAACTGACTGATTGAGATATGATTATGTGGTCAAAATATTAATAAACCCCACTAAGATATAAGATTGAAAAATATCATTTTACTTTGATCTGAAAGTGCTTCTTATCTCCACAGAAAACAGCATTATTTGGGACCATATTGTAAGTTTTGAAAAATTTGGTGTTATCTCAAATAGGTGTTGTAACATGTGGAAAAGTGGGAAAGAAATTTTGTGGCCTAACACTTAGGATCAATTGTAGCCTTCGAAACTCGATTTATCCTTCTCTAGTTAAATACCAGACTTAGGTCAAACAACATAAATATACTAAGCCGCTTGAATGTCTCTTTATTCTGACTTGACTTGTTCGGGAATAAGACGTAGTTATTATTATTATTATTATTGAATTGGACTTGGAAAAGTGAAAAAAGAAAACGTCTTCGATAAAAGTATAAAACAATTTGGTGATTTAAGATAAAATTAAATATACAAAAAAAAAAAAATGTCACCCCTCTTTAATTTGCTACAACACAAATGTGTATAGAGATATATGAAGCATCAATTCATGGATGAAATTATTTGGTGTGGTATTTTTGTAAAAGGCATGCCGACTAAGATTTTAATTTATTATGAATGATCGAGAAATTCGTCTGAATTCAACTTGTAAGATCAACTATGCCTTCGAAACTTAAGAATAATATTCTCGCTTCTCTATTTTTTTTCACTTTAACTACCATGCATATAGTTCGCATGGAACATAACTCGAATATGTGACCTAAGTCACGAGTCCCTCAATCTTAGTAACTTGAACTAACTAAGCCCTATAAATGTACGTAAACTCGATATTTTTGCTTATATCTTAAGAAATTCACTAAATAATTATAAATATTTAATGTGAACTCAGTTATATATTATTAAGCATGCATAATACATAGACGTATTACTTAACTTGGACTCGGTTGACATATATTTGCCTCCAACTTTAACTATATACAAGCAAATGCTTAATCTTGTATAAAAAGTTAAATATGCAGATACACGTGTGCTACGTGTCATATAAGAATCAATCCAAGCCTATCTCACTTGAATCGATACATAGAACGCAACATAGAATGTGTGTGTATTCACTTATTCATTTTCATACAAATTTAAGCATCTACTTATACATATCCAAAATTTAAGTACATAAATATCACCAGAAATTAAGATAATGGCACACGTGTAGAAAATTCATAAATTTCAAATCTTGAACTGTTTCGACGAAACCGCGTCGGCAATTATAAATCATGGCTAGCTACGAATGGAATGCATCCAGCAATACACAAACGTGTATATCTAGAAAATACAAACTTTATCATAAACACTGAATCTATAAAAGAAAGTGATTATATTGTATACTTTTTGGATGATTTTTGGTCTACCATCATATGAATTGATTGGCCAATTATATTATTATATGCATGGTCATCAATTGATCATATATTTTTTTTTTCATTTTTCTTGGCCAAAAGTTATTTGTCTGGATATTCCTATACCACTACTAGACCCTTAAACACTGTGTTTGGGTCCCTTCTACTAATTATAGCACACATGACACATGTATAATGCTATCTTTAGTAATTTGGAAGTAGCCACATTAATGGCATTTTACCAAAAATATCCATCCTACTATTGTTACCTAATTATTATTTTTTAGAGAATAACACCAAGATAAACTAAAATTAGTTTGTTAATCTGTTGTTAAACTAAATTTTGGTTCGTAGCTAACGATTTATTTATGATCAATCATTTATTTGTCGCTAAATAAGATTTCTCGAGAAGAGAGGAGCCGTGGTGGTCCCCCCGGACCGCCCGGATCCCACGAGTGAATCGAAAGTTGTGATGAATTTATTTGTTTTTTGTTCTACAATTTGTACCTTG